GTGAGAATGTTAGTCTGACCCATAAGCGTTAGTATGTCTGGTATTAGTGACTCTGAAGACGTAGGTTGCCAGCCAGCGTAGCTCAAATGGTCACGCAGATACGCAAACCATCGCATCACGTTAAGTCCAGTCTCGTCGCACACTTCTTTCTCGGTACCGAGCTTTGCTTTTCGGTAGCGAAATCTTGTTGATTATCCCATCCAAGCTTTAGCACACCAAACGATTTAGGTAGAATATCTCATACTTGCCAGAAAGACCGGCTGTCACACGCATTACTTGCTGTTAATTTAATGCCGGTACCGTATACAGATGCTCTGCGAGAATCATGGTGGTATATTTAATGTTGCTCTGCTTCATAATCCTTGTATGCGTTCGGGCGCCTTAGCCGTATTTCAGATCACGTCTTGACTTGCTTTGGCTGCGAGATACCGGGGTAGCATCTTGCTGTTTTGTTGCGGTACATACTCACTATGTGGTGCGTTGCGATCAGAATCCTTGCCTAGGAAGTTCTTTTTTGTTACCAAGTGGAATCCGTGGGATTTGAATTCGGTTTATCGTTTACTTTGTCAAATTAGCATGCGTCGGGCGGTTTGCGTTTGCGATCACTCTATGCCAGCTTGTTCAACGTTTTTTGCTCATTTCCACATCACTCGCCAATTGTGGCTTCACGAAACACATCAACGGAATGCTGAAGCTTTGTCAAGAATTCCAGTGTGATGGCAGCAAATGGCGTGAAGCCGTGTTCTAATGAAGTAGCATGGTCATTCGGAGGGATAATGCGATGATCAGGCGTCTCGAACAGGAATTCGCTGAATCGGAATTGTGAACTTATAAAACCATCATTCAGCCAACATAGCTGTGAGTGCCTTAACTGAAGATTGTCATTTTGTGGCTGTGTACAACTCCACTTCGTTTACGGACACTGACGCCTGCGAGGCGAAGTTGGTTACTAAGAGGAATAATGGCGGAGTGTTGTCACACACCTCACAAAAGGCATATCGTTCTGGTTGTGATCACATTCATTATTTGCGTCAGGCTGCTTCATGTGTATTCCCTGACTTACTGATTGGATGGCTGTTACTCTTGCAAGTGGCACTGGCTGCTGACATCCGGAAATCATGGGGGCGGAACTCGGTAAGGGTTCATTCATTATACACGTCAGCTGCAGGTAAAAAACACCTCGACTATTGTGCCGCAAAACTAAAGACAAGAAAAAATACAACAGTGGCACGCCGGCTGAGTCCCCAGTAACGGTTAAACATCGTTCCGGAGAGCTAACTACCGGCTATCGTGCCGCAAAAGGGTTACATTGTGCCTAGCGAATGAGATCATGATTGGAAGGGGATGCTAAGCAGTAAAGGGATGCACAAAGGAACTCACAACACAAACGCCATTGGGGCCGGCTCCAAGCCATATCAGCAAGTGTGTCCAACCAAACGTGTTCACCGTCCTTAGGACCCCAGCCAGGCACTCGGGATGAACCAACCGACGCCAACTTCGAAGTAAGGGTTTTCATTTCTCTCGATCACGTCATGGCTTGGACTCCTCTTCCAACCGCACCCCCGGCGCGCAAACAATGCACGTTGCGGGAGTCGGTGTGCTGGCATGCGCAACACGTGGCCCAGCCATCGGATCCTGGTACATGATATAATGGTTCTGAGCGGTTCATTCGCTCTTCCTGCACCAAATACGCGACGTAGAACATGCTCATTGCTCACGCGGTGCTCCCAACAGACATGAGCTAAGCTACGAAGGCAGCGATGATCGAATATGACGAGCCTCTTTATGTCTGTCGACCTGATGGGCCAGGTTTCACATTCATACAGGAGGGTTGAACGGACGGCTGCGTTATAAACTCTGCCCTTCAGGGCAAGAGTGATGTCGCGTCTGCGTCACAGATGGCGGAGATTGTCAAAAGCACCTTGAGCTTTTGCTATACGGTCCGTAACCTCATCTTCGATCCCACGGGCGCTAATCCAGCTGCCCAGGTACTTGAATTCCTGAAGGACTTCTAGAAGATCACCACAAAGCGTTAGCGCAAGGGTGGGTCCTTGCCAATCTTGGAGAAGTACTTTGAATTTAGATGGAGCAAAGCACAGCCCAAAACGATTGACAACTGGTGATAATCGATCCAGTACTGCTTTGGAAATTTTGGGAGCTGTCACAGATTAGGGCACTCGTTCGTTGGAATTCGCACCACTGTTAGATCCAGAAGGTCGAAACAGCGCATTCTGGTGATTTCCAGGATTTGCTAAAGCCTGCTGACTTAAAGCGGATCATGGTGACCTATCTCTACTTTAACAAATGTTGGGCACTGCCTAAGCTCCGACATCATTGATGAAAATCTTCCGGTTTGACTATAAATGCAGCGCACATCTCCAGTACTTTGTGTGCGTTTATAGAAATGTTCATCTTGTCCTTCTAAATGTCTTACTTGCGGCTTTTTCGGATCGATACCAACCTCTTTTGCCTCATATAAGTGCGCCTCCAATTTGACTACCATGCGATTGCTCACTGCTCTTCTCCTTTATTGCGCACACACACACTCCTTTCCGGTGCATCGCATGGCCCAACATACTCTTTTTTATTATGTTTTCGCCGTTTTCTCACACAGGTTAGCGCGTTGAACACAACGGCGAACAATGCGATTGTACCAGCAGTCCGGAAAACAGCTTGCCTCATTCTCCTCACACTGTTCGCATGTGCCCGGCACTACGGAGTATTTTTTTAGGCCTTGGTACATTTGTCTACTCCCTTCCTTCCATTGCATCTGATCACCTCGCAAAGCAACCATCATATTTGCTTTCGATGGCTGTGTGTCACCATTGGCCAGATTATCGCGCTTCAAAGATCCCGCGTCTCCATTTTGATCATTCATCGTTTAAGCATGTCTATTGCCACGTTTTTAATGCGTGTCAGTCAAAAGGCTGAGTAGAAATCGCTTTAGCTTCGGGAGCATTTCGTTTTGTGCATGTGACAATGACCCGACGTTCAAGTTTTTTATTCTCCGATTTTGTTTGTCTAATTAAATAATTCACAATGGGGATACTCTTGTTCATTGGTTGTGTCACAAGGGAACCAGTTTACCATTCTGTATGCCATCTTTTCTGCTAGCTTTCATTCAATCGACCCCTATATTGCAGCATTTGGCGCCACTCTTAACTTCTTATATCGTAACTACAGTACCTGCGTTTATCTTTTAACGTCACCCAGAATTATCACATGTAGGCACGAGGTTCATAGGAACATGGGCTAAAGTATTTCCGTCCTCCTAATGCGTGTCTTTAGCGTCCCACTTGCTTTAATGCGCGAGGTTGGAAAATTCCCACAGTTTTATCCCTCTATAATATATTAGTTGAAATGCAAACAGGTGGCTTCCACTACAAGAACTGTGCACTAAATCAACGAGTTAAAGTCGATTCACGTCGTTTTCGTGGGGGGCAGTTTGATGCTAGTGACTCATGGCCCATTCACATACTACAAAGATTGTGTGTGTGCATTATCCTGCACTGACTCCGAAGTTTCCATTCATCATTTTCCCACTATTCCAGCGCATCGGGATCGGTTTATGCCGAAGGAGGTCCGTTCACCAACCGTCCATTAGACCGCCCTTCGACCGGCACATTAACTGTCTGTGATGGCACGGACATTATTTTGCTCGGATACACGGGGAAGAAAAAGATACCAGCGCGGTTGATTGAAATGATTTATAGAGGGTGATAAGAAAAGCGAGTTATTGCATGTCCTTCGCATTCCGTTTCATAAATGACATGAACAGGTACCTCGACTTCACTGCTGCTGATTTTGAGTGTACTATGATTTGCTTAAGGAACTGCACAAGAACGCGAGTGATAAGGAATCACTCTCCGTTTCTAGGATTTTGCTTTTGCTACCACAACGCATCGCGACGTTGTCCGGTTCGTTTGTGAACTCCCGCGCCTACAGCCGACGTGTCTAACTTGTTACTTCTCCGTTTCGAACGTTTTAGAGAAATCGATCTCACCCCCTGAATTACCTTGGGTCTTCCTGTTGACGCATTTCAATTGGAGTACATTACTTTTCATATTCTGATTCTACAAATTTGGAATTTGCCGGCATATACCAGCGCGGATCCGTTTCTCTCTTTTCCATCTATCAGCCTTGTTGCCTACTCATCTACAGCGCCGTGTGCTTCATTGTCCTCTTCCTTTTGGTCACCCTGAAGATCGACATTTAGCGAGATCACTTTTCATCTATCTTTTTCTGAAATCAATCCACTCAACGCAGATTCCGCTTCCTGGTGGCATTTTATCCGCTACACTTTAGATTATCCCATTATTGATTTGATGCTGATTCACCTGCTACAGATTTGGAACTATCTTCGCGACTGAAATGCACTTTCCCTTACCGGATTCCGCTGTTTTGTCACAGAATTGCACTCTGTGTTCGCTGAATGTATGCCTTTCTTACAACTTTCTGGTCGGTTGTTCTTTGGGGCGCCATTTTAGTCCCTCCCATTTCAATTTGTTTTGGTAAAGCACAGCCATTTGGCGACATTGCCATTTTCGTTTTGGCTAAGCATAGAGTTCGGACGTACCTTGTGATATGATTCACCTTTACTTCTAGAAAGCGATTTCCTTGTTTTCTTTCGTTGTGCAACATCATGACTTGCAGTATATGTGTATCCACTACATCGTGATATAAATATCTATTGTTGCTGGATGCACAGCCGATCCCACCCTAGGCCTTTGACGTGCTACATTCATTTCTCGTCTCTTCACGCCTTTTCTGTTCTCCAACTTCTTTAACAGCGTATTATGCTTGCATCTTATTTTGTGTTTATCGCCAATCATTCGGCTTACCGTGTTCACTTGTACACTCAAGTATGCGCTATTCGGAATCTAACTAACTTTATTCATCGTCTTTGTTATTGTTACTGTTGTTACTCTAGTTGTCCCTGTAATTCTTTTCGCTATTCCACACTATCCGCACTGCACAAATACTCTTTTGTTTTCGCATAGGTCCAGCAGTTGTTTACGAACCTTGGCCTTAAAACCATACCGCAGCTGACCGACTACGAGGTTGGCATTGCTGTCAACTTGGTAGACACGCAAGTCCTCTCTACTGATTGGGATTCAATCGGCGGGTTAAGCCATGTGATAGATGAACTTAAAGAATCTGTGCTGGTGCCCTTTCAGCAAGTTCAACTGGTCCCCTATCCGTCTCGGCTTCTTCGGGCGCCCAAGGGTGTTCTTCTTTATGGTCCACCAGGTTGTGGTAAGACCATGCTGGCCCGGGCTATGGCTCGCACCGCGAATGCTTCCTTCATAAATTTACAGGTTGGTGGGGTACTCTAAACCTATCTCATTTCTCCATCATTAAGTGTCTAACCTTCCTCATCAAGGTAGACCGCTTGAGTTAATTAGTTCTCCCACATCAAAGGATGCGATCTGCGCCCGTCGAAATTTTGATAGTGCTTTCTGTTGAGAACACTTATGCGACATTGCATTGCAGTGCCTAGACTGTCGCATGCGATATGTATCCTTACTCATTATTCTTGCTGATAATGTCTTCACGTTATGAAGCCACTGGCTCGCACTACTGTTTGGAACATGCCCACATGACGCTTGTCACACAGAACAAACGAACTTTTCCGCTTTGTGAATCGTGTGGTTAGCCGCTCATTTTTATGATGGCCAACTCGTTCACTTCAACAAACGATTATCAGTCATTTTGTTGCGATTGTTGCTCATATGTGTCTCTTGAAAAGCTCGTTCAGACGTCCATCGATTAGGCTCACAGTCCGTTTGTTTATACAGACAGCATTGGTGATTATCTTCCTGGTGACTTGATTCTTGTCCACACAACGTTACTGCAAATCTGTCTTTTATCTAGAATGTGAAGTTCGTTAAATTCTCTTACGTGTCAGCTATTTTTGGCTAGCTGATCTGTACACTGTGGAAATGGAATATTTTAGTACACTCTTCTCTTGTTTTTCCTACTTCCGCTCAAAGCATCACCATCTATTGGTCTCCAACCGCGATAAGCAAAACACCTGAGTCAAATATTACATGGTCCTACCAGTCCCCATCATCTCTGCGCACATTTCGGAATGTTGAGACCATGCGATTCCTATTTTAACTGTCTTTATGTCGGCGGCTTTACTATATTCTCGAAGCCGTTCAACTCCACTAAACAGGGTTTCTTCGAACAAAAAGTTAAGCTTATCATAGTTTACGTCACAGTTTCTAGCCTTCAGCGTTGGTGCACGACACATGGCCAGACATCACTGATATTTTTCTCTCATCCGACTATATTCAGGCTTCCTACACAGTCACCCTTATCGTGCTCGCTTGCAACAGATGCAACCACTTCACTAACCTTTTCCTACTGGCCGCCTTGTGTGTAATCCACCATTAGATTTCCGTTTCCCCTATTAGGTATTTACGACGCATTTGCTCTAATTACCTCATATGGTGTTACTATCTACTGTTCAGATTTACCGTTTGGCACATGTGCGCTCACGCTGCACCACATGAATCACTCATTCATGTTACATCGGTTCACTGATTCCATTCGACGCATGTCATGCCGGCTGACTGTTGTTCTACTTCCCGGTCACGTCGGTTTGTTTTGTACCGGGCGAGTAGATTAATAAGTGCACAAACATTCTGTTCCGCTCACCATTGTTGCTATTTGTATGTAGTGCACACTCCTCTTAGCTCAAACAGTTTGTTAGATACTCCATTAGGTTGAAACATCGGTCTTATGTTTTAGGTGTCCTGCGAATTTAGCGCTTCACTTGTTTCTGATACGACTGTTTGTATCCCTCTACGGCTCACTGATTCCCGATGCATGAGTATGACTAGTGTGCACTATTTATGTGTACCACAGGTTTCCCGTATGTCTCCATCATATCTGCTACATAACGCAGAAAATTCCTTCCGTTATCTACAGAAACAACATTCGACATTGAGTACCCAGTGCTCAACAACCATTTTGCTGATCACGAGCCTCCCGCTGTCCATATGCTCATTCCTATGATTGGTATCCTCTGAAAATATTTTCCCTTAGCTATCGCGTACCCACCTGGATGCTTGTGAGAAGCAAAGGCTGTTACGCATTTCTAGCTTGTCACTTTGCATCACTTGTCTAAAAAGGCCATTTTCTTTAATCGTGCATTCGGTTGCTCTTTAGGTTACCCACTAAATAATTGACCCTTACCACAGTAAAATAACTCACCATCGTCTTGATGCCTTCATTGCTGCTCTTCACTCTTAGTGCTTACCTTTGGCTTCGTCTGCTTCTACCTCTTGCACTCCATCACCGATTTTCTTCTCCGGGCTCATCAATTAGAGGATGCATCTTGCAGAGGCCGTTTCATTGACTTCTCCGGTTTGATATTCTTACTAAATGAGTGTACTGTTTGCCTTAGTACAAAACATGTGTGAAGTCAATCAAAGCATCTTTTTGGGGCTCCAGGTAGGAGCTGGCGTGTTATTAGCTTGTCGCCTTTTGGCTTGGGCTCGATACAGTGCCCGTTCAATGTTAAATGCTACTAGAACACGGGAACTGCTGTTATTTGACAAAAGCTAGACTTGCGTGCTGCCACGGATATTGAGACTTGCAGCAACGAAATCGGACATAGGTCTCACTTTGAAATAAATAAGTCATTTAGGTTGGTTACCTACTTCTTTGTGATTTGAGCCAATAATCTTAAAGGCAGTTTGTACCAATCTATATTCTCATCGCTTCTTTCATAATCTGATGCATCCATTTCTGGACTGTAGAATCCGGTATCAGCGAAATCTGCTCGTTCTGTCACTTACAATCACTGAACACCTGACATAGATATTCTATGATATTGTGTGTGAAATAGCAATGTTCAGTTAGGTTCTACCGACAAACTTTGGTGCGGATCTCGTAGTACGTTGGATCCGGTTAACTTGATCCCTGCTAAAGTGACACTACGACGGATCTTTGAAATACGCAAAGCAACGGGAATAAAGAGTGAACTCGTCAGCTAGACGAGTTGAATTGGCATAGTGCATACAGTGGGATACTGCATGTTCATTGTTCCTCGTTTCAGCTCTCTTTTACGATAAAAGAGACATCTTGTAAAGGATTTTGACTGTTTTCCGTGGCGAAGCTGTACGCTTTCGAGCGCATCCCCAGATTGCAGATTGGAAAATGCCTTCCTTGTGGAGGTAACTGCGAATAAGTCCCGTTTACCTTGCAGGCGAGACGAATAAGCAGTCGCGGACAATCAGCGGCAGCGTCTCAGAGCGTGGGGAATTCTAGTCTGGTCACCTTGTTTTCCATCAAATGTCACAAGAGCTCGTACGGTGCTGTGTCAAAACCAGTGTAATCAGTAGTGAGTATTTAACGTAGGGCGGATGAACAACTTTGTTGGCCACCGGCTTCCTTGTGGACTGCTACTAAACACAAATAAGGCGAATGAGCTACCCAGATGTCAACCGTCTTCGTCAGTCGCCATACTGCCTTGCGGATCAGGTCTTTAAGACCAAATGCTCGGGGTGGGGTCCCCAAAGTCAACCCTCTTCCTCGGCCTGAACAACCTGGGCAACACATTAACCTTCTAAACTTTCCACTGACTACCTGTTTTTCCCCTTTGTTTTTTTATTAACTATGAGTTGTGGCACTGCTAATTGTATTTTGGTCAAGTGTTGATTAATAAATGAATAGTTATTTCTGTCCACTGGCGCTGTCCTAGGTTGTTTCATGCCAAAGTAAATGTTTACGTATGTCTTCCGTGTATGTAGACTGTTGTCATCACCTTCAACCTGTCAACCTTAAAATGCTACTTCACTGTGATAGTTCCCTCACTGGTCTGGCGATTATTTTGAGATCTTTAGGAGACCAGGAGAGACCACGGGAAAGCACTAGTTCCAGTATGGTAGCACACGCAGTGATAAAACGCTGGATTGAAAATCGGGATACGGAAGAAAACCTGAGACATGTAGCATGGAGTGAGAGTTTCCTAACTTTGGTAAATATGTCGTTCATGTGAAGGGGCCACGTGTCACTCGCAGCTGTTTTACTAAAGTGGGAGAGGTCAAATCTTCATTGTCGCATTGTTGCTGATATTGCGTTAAGATTTGCGTTTGGGCTGTGATCTTTTTAAGTATGAGCCTCTCAAAGGTGTCCGAAACAAACGACGTGCAAGCAATTGGCCGATCTCTTCAGATTCGTTTTGGCACTGGCGTGATGCTTGCGATTCCCCAACTGTCAGCTATCTTGTGTTGCTTGAAGCATATTGTGTACAATTTGGCGAGAAGCTGTACCAGTTAATCTGCACACCTTTAGCACAACTGGAGAAAATTTATCCCGACTAAATGGTTTGTCCAATTGCAAACCGACTAGTTTCTTGTGCGTTTCTACACTGTACACAGAAAGTGGGTTGCCTGAAGGTAGTTATAAATTAGCAGGGGATATATCAGAGACTGAAGTATTATATTTGTCAGAACTGTTAGGTTTAATTCTTCCATATCCGGAGTTGTGTGTGACCTCTCGGGTGACTCCACTTAACTGTTTCAGCGTTTTCCCTATTTCCCGATAATTATTATTTCCAAGTATGGTTTAAACGTAGATTTGATTAAGGCGACGCAATTCGCATTTTATTTCAACCGATGGAGACTTTACTTTGCTTTTATTATTCTTTTCTTTGGACCTGTGCAATCGTTTGATACGTTGAGACGGGAGTTTATCGGCTCGGATGAATATTGTTTCAATTAAGTAAATAAATTTGTATATTTACCGACAGACGGTACACGGCCCCATAAGTGGGAGCGATCATTTGTATAGTAAATAAGTTTCGTGGTTTATGCGTGTTAATGGGACGGAACCAGCCAATGAGAGCGTTTTACGCTGAGGGCTATTGATTTGGCCATAAATTGAATGTACCGTTAGTTGGACGTTAAGCAAATATACTTGCCAGCCGTACGCCGGTCTCCTGCTTTGGGAAGTCGGGCTGATCAGAGTGCACGCTAGCAGCAGGTCATCGGTAGGTCAGCCGAAACCATAACATATATTTTTTTGTCGACGGAAGGTAGTGGATCAAGATGTCAATTTCAGCGGAAGACCTGAAAATCATTTTGTTGCAGCAACAGCAGCAATTTGAAACAGCACAGCTGCGTATGATTGAAACCCTCACCCAAATGTTATCTGTGCAGCCTACGGTCGTTCAGAACAATGGGGAGCCTTCGGCGGATGCGATGATCAGTAGTGTTAATGAGTTCATATTCGATCCTGACTCAGGATTAATATTCGATGCGTGGTTCAGGCGCTATGAAGATGTTTTCAGGGCAGAGTTGTCAGG